TTTAGGCTTAATGATAACAAGTGCTTTGATTCATCGCGTGCTGCATTTTGTTCATTTCACATTACATGTGCGAGAAATATGTGTGTTTCTTGCTCCACTCTTTAGTTCATTCACAGTTTTAATAACATATGCATTAACAAAAGAGTTAAAGGTTTGTTTACGTTTGTTTTATTCCCCAACTTCATTTTCCTCATTATATCATAAATTTTTATCATATGTAGTGCTTTTAATTTATCACGTTTGTGTAGTGATAGGAAAACATTTAAAATCAGTATTTGAAAAGGTTTGCTAAAATCAGAGTTACGTTTTGCATAACATGTTTGTATACCATGAGAAGTCTTATTTTCATCGCTCTTCGTTTGTTGTGTAAGATAGTATATGATCTGACTTGTTACCTGCAAGATGATCAAAAGGTTTGCTGCATTAAATCTGATAATTCTGACATATTGGATACTTTCTGACGTTGTGTGCCAAGACTGCCGTATTACATACATTCTTTTGCATTCGAAGTGTTTCAACATTTAATGTCAACTTTTGATCGCATGTGGTTTGAGAGTAATTGGTCATGCTGAGGTTTCTAAGACTTTTAGGTTAAAATATATTTCTGTCTTGGATGAAATAAATAGTAAAACTGCGGAATTCAAAAAGAGCAGTGACAAGTTAACTTAAACTTTATGAATCCATGCAGTTGTTTAATACCTTAACATGATCTTGATGACTTTCATGATTTGATCAGCTTTCTCTCGTACTGTTTCCCTTAGACGATGGATGGAGTCGTATCGGACCATGTGTAATCATATTCTGAAATATAATATTTCAGATTACATAATGTATTTTTAATGCAGATTTAGCTAAGTTGAATCATTATCAGGCGTTTCCATTATAGGATGACGCGGCTGGACTTGTAGCTGCCTCCATGATTGCTATTGTGCCAGGTTATATATCGCGTTCTGTTGCTGGTTCATATGATAACGAAGGTATCGCTATATTTTGTATGCTGTTTACTTATTACCTGTGGATCAAGGTTTGTTTTTCACTCATTTTTTTATTGTCAATAAATATAGTTTTGGTTTTATCATCTTAATAGTATTTTTGCTTGTTAAAACGCAATTGGCTAATTGCATTTACCACTTTTAAGTTCTTTCGCTTTAATTTTAGTTCACAGAAATATGAAGAGATAGCATCACTGAATTTTGTTTCTGATGTATAGTTCCTGATATATTTCTGAGAAAAATTCCTAATATATAGTTTAAAGTATTCAGGCAGTAAAGAGCGGTAACGTATATTGGTCAGTTTTATGCTCACTTGGTTATTTTTACATGGTTTCCTCATGGGGCGGTTACGTGTTCTTGATCAACCTCATTCCGTTACATGTTCTGGCGCTTATTTGCACTAACCGATTCTCCGACAAAATATATATCGCTTATTCAACTGTTAGTTTTTTCGAGCAATAGATCGAAATAAACAGAAAGTAGAGAGAAAAGAAAATATTAAAAGAATATTTCTACGTTTTTTGCTTATTGTAAAGCTCAAAGATGTAAAGAAGAGATATGTAAACTATAAATTAACTGGGAAACTATAAATTTACTGTTTTACTTAGTGCATTATTTTGTTGTTCGTATCAACTTCGGTTGAAGACCCGCTCAAATAACTGTACCATTTGGAAATTTTTCTTTTTTAAATGGTATTTTACACACGAGAATATTTATGTGCTTTCGGATATCTTTATTTTTTAAGAAAAGGAAAATTTTAGTTTTAGAAAATTTTAGTTCTACGTTATCGGAACTATATTTTCAATGCAAATTCCCTTTGTTGGATTTCAACCTGTACAAACTTCAGAGCATATGATGGTATGTTGAAATGTACAATGAAATCCGGAAGTTTATGTGTTTGTTAAGAGATTTTTTGAATTATTAGAAAATATCATTGTCGAAAATCATTGCTGTCAAATTTGCAATTTTTTTGAGTTTTGCACATCGAATTTTTCATTTATTGCTTTGGATACGCAAAAAAAAACTTTCCAATACCTGGAAGTATACTTGAAATGTAATGTTAAGTGGAATCTATTCTTAAGACAATATTTGACATAACTAGTGCCAGTATTCTTTTTTATCTAAACCACCACTTCAATGTATTTTATGTTTGTTCTTTATGCACACTTTTGATTCTATCAAATTTTCTTACTTGCTTTCAGGCTTTTGGGGTTTTTGGTTTATGTCAAATTGTCGCGTTTGCTAAATGGCTGCGGGCACGAATGTCAGAAGGAAATTTTCAATTTCTTTTTCGATCAACTGTTCTGTTTGCGGCATGTGCTGTTGCGATGAGTATCATCGTCGCATCCTATTTAGGAAGTAATTATTTAAGGAGAAATTTTTGTTGAGAGATATTTTATACTGTTTAAGTCATAATCCATTAATTTTACTCTAAGATTTACAATGCACCTACTTATGATTCTAACTTAAAAAATGAATATAGCAACAGATTCTTGGTGAACTTCATGTTCAGGCATTCACTGCGATGCGTTTTTTGGTAATGTTGCTCAGTAATATTGCTTCTATATCGCATTTTACAAGCAAATTTACGTGCATTATTTCATCAACGTAACAGTCATTCAAAATTTATGCCTTTCGTCAGTCATCATGAGATATTCCTTCTCAGTTTATTTCAAACTTTGTCGATCTTCCTTCATTTAGGCTTGCCTAACTGTTGCCACTTTTATACTATACCATTTCATTGGCGAGCTAATTTAAAATTTGAGGGATATATCATCTCTGGAAAAAAATGGCATTTTTTTGATGGAGCTTCATTCTTCTTTTAATTTATATTCCCCCGATGAAGAAATGTGCAAAGAATTTTTTAGAAATTGCTCCTTGGACTGGGCGATTTTATTCATTGTTGGATCCATCATATGCTAAAAACAATATTCCTATTATCGCATCCGTGTCTGAACATCAACCAACGGCATGGAGTTCTTTTTATTTTGACTTGCAGATACTGGTGTTTACTTTTCCAGGTATTTGATTTTTGCTGTCACAGTGCTTCATTTATTCATGTGAATAGCCTTCTTTCATCGATTCCTACTTTCAAGTATTAAATGTTGAGTAATAGTGACCAAAATTTTCAAGAGTTTTACTGAAGAGTATCAGTTCTTTTTTTCACTAGCTATTCCGTGTTTTCAGTTGGATTGTATGTCTGCTTCAAAGAGCTCAATGATCACAACATTTTTATCATACTTTATGCTCTTACAAGCATTTATTTTGCGGTACGTCTTGCTTTTTAAAATGATTTTAGGAAAGTTTAACATTCTATTTAGTTCGCTGGATAATGCTTGTTTAGTAGGTAATTAATATTTCTCCCACACTTATTCAACTGGACTGAAAATTCAGCATACATTATTGTTGGAATGTTCTCAGTACGAATTTCGAGTGAATAAACAATTATTTGTGAGTAGAAATGATTAATATTTCATAGGGCGTCATGGTTCGTTTAATGTTAGTATTGGCACCGGTAATGTGCATATTAGGTGGTATTGCACTATCGTCGACATTGACTACGTTTATGAAGAATTTGGATTCAACATCTACGCATGCCAGACATGATAAAAAAGAAAAGGAGAAAAATTATCCATATAAAAATGAGGTAACTTATAGTTATAATACTTTCCGATCTAATGAGATGCACGTTTGAACTGGTCGAACTTCGATGGAACTGATTTGAAATGAAATTTTATAAGGCTGTAGTTCATTAAGTGGATACTTCAAATACGTTGCTGGTTACAATTTATTGCTTTATCATAAAGGGTTGTTTATCTTTAAGTAGTTTTGCTCCTTTGGTATTCTTTTGCATTCGTTTTATTTGCACCGCGGTTACCTTTTAAAATTTAAGGTAGCACATGCAGTGATTGCAATTGTTGCAGTATTTTTCTTTTCCTATGTATATCACTGCACCTGGGCAACTTCCGAAGCTTATAGCAGTCCTTCAATTGTTCTTTCTGCACATGGTGGTGATGGATCCACGATTATTTTTGATGATTTCAGAGAAGCTTATTATTGGCTACGCAAGAACACGCATCCGGTCAGTAGATATTTCCATCGAAATATGATCAAAAATTAAAAGAATGTTGAAGGCAACAAATTTCTCTTAGGGTTTTTCAAAGTTCTGGAACTTTTCAGGAAGCAAAAATCATGTCATGGTGGGATTATGGGTATCAAATAACAGCAATGGCAAATCGAACAGTTATCGTTGATAACAATACTTGGAATAATACTCACATATCGCGTGTTGGACAGGTGAATACTCTTTGTTACTGGAGGTGTTTAAGATTTCTTTGAATTTCTCCTGAGAATACATAAAAGTAATGTGCTTCTTTTTCTCGACTATGTTTTGCTTCTTGTCGTTTCGTTATTTGTACCCACTGCTTGGCAGAATTCACTTCTACTGTTGCCAGTTTACAATAAAGGTCTACTGCATTCGCAGAGATTGCTAATAAAGTAAATTCTGCCAAGCAATGAGTTCAAATAACGAAACGACAAGAATTCTCCAAATTGCTGAATTGTTTCCTTTTTATTTCAATTGAATTTCTTTTAGGCGATGTCTTTGAAAGAGGAAGATGCATATGAAATAATGCGTGAACTAGATGTTAATTATGTTCTGGTTATTTTTGGTGGAGTAATTGGATATTCTTCTGATGGTGATTTTTTCTTAATATTTCCACGCGAGGTTGCTACTTCAGTTTTCCACTTTTTAATTTAGAAGTTTGTGACCTATGAGATAATAGATTCACTATAATTCCTTTTTATTGGTATATTTAAGTCATTGGAGTGGATTACTTGCTCATGCGTTCCACTATGAACAATTTTTTCAGACATTAATAAATTTTTATGGATGGTAAGGATTGGTGGATCCACACCGGAAGGAGCGCACATCAAAGAAATGGATTACTTTTCAAAATCGGGTGAATTTCGTGTTGATCGCGAGGGTTCACCGACGATGCTTAACTGTATGATGTATAAATTGTGCTATTATCGGTTTGGTGGACTCTATACTCAACATGTAAGCATGTTTTTGGGAATTATCGCCGATTATATTTTTTGTTTACTTTGAATCTCGAGAATTAATTAATGTTCAAATCGGACTTTGGACTAGAAGTGAGTTAAGGAAATAGCATATGAAAGTCATAAAAAGTAACATGATCCGAACTGAAGTCCTGAGCTCCAAAATATTTAAAAATTGAAGTGCTTAGTGAATTATATTGTTCAACACAGAGATACTTTCAGGGCCAAGTCACCGGTTTTGATAGGGTAAGACATGCTGAAATCGGTAACAAAGACTTCGAACTCGATTACTTGGAAGAAGCGTACACCACAGAGCATTGGATCGTGAGGATTTATAAAGTAAGATATGATTTTCGAAAATAATTTTGCCATGATTGCCGTAGATAATTTTGTCATGATTTGCTATCACCACATACTAATTCACATTATGTATATGTTAATCTGGGCAATATCTACTCGATATCCAATTAGTGAACAGTGAACACATTCGTGTTTAAGCATCAATTTTCCAGTATGTATGGCTGCGTCATGCACTTTTTTCCAAAAAATTTTGACATAATGTGCCATGTCTAAAGTATTTCGACATATACCAAATCTATCTCTTAGACTTGCATGAAACATCATAACTTATATAACTACTACTTGCCATTGCAAGTAAACAAGTATTCCCTTGTCAGTTTAAGACCTACGTATTTCAGTATAACTGACGAAATTTTGATATTTGATTTGCAGGTGAAACCGTTGGATAATCGAGGACACAAATAAAGTCAATGTTCTTGCAACGATTTTGTTACTTTTCACTTGTTTTAGAGTGATTTACTGTTTCGGTAATTTAAAATGCATTGTTTTGTTACCAATTTTTCGGTGGAATTTTGTATTCTGTCAACTGGGGAGAACTTGCGGTAATTTCAGTTACCATTTCTCTGCAATAAATTAACTTGTTATCAACTTTCGTGCTAGGATTTTCCTTTTTTTTTATAATGAAGTTTACTAGATGTTCATAGTTAGGAATGCATAGATTTCAAACAGTTTGAAGCATTTTGACGAAGGTTGGGGAAGTTTGAAATGTTAAATCATGCTTCACATTTCAGTAACCTATAACATACGTCCTCAAGTGCTAGGATCTATTTATCGTAGCGCAAAAGTGAAGTGGGTGGGACTGCCCGTCACAGTGTTTCAGGACTCTACGAAATTACAATGCTCTTGTTTTGCAAGTTTTTGGTCATCAAAGAGTGTGTTTCGATTTGGCTCATGTAGGTTTTAAGAAGCAAAAGCTCCAATTCCAAGCAATATCAGTCATTTCCTCATAACTTGTGTTAACAGGATTCCCTATTGTTAATACATCAAAGTACGTGTACATTAGTAAATCATGAAAACATATTAACTTTCTAGCAACAGTGAGTTTGTTTGCAGAGGTGAGCGAATATTTTTGAAATATTTTACTTGCAATGAATTTACAATTTTGGAATAGATGGAAAGTTATATACATATTGCCGATCTGAATACGTAAAATAGTTAATGATGAAAGAGAATAAGAAAAACAAATCGTCGTACAAACGAAACAAACCTCTCCAGTAACTATTTGAATCTAATTGTTTCTGTTAATTTGTCTGAATGAAATCAAGAAATCCCAGGATCTCGTAACCTATTGACATTATTATTTGTAACTTATGGAGCCGTAACTCACTTGAGTTGCAACTGTTTTTACAGTTAAGGTAAAATAAAAGAAATGGTGTAGGAAAAAAGATCGAAGCAGCCCTTTTTCCATTATTCGAAAGAAAATATGTTAACTACTTCATTGTAATCGTAATAATTTTCATAGAAAGGTTTGAGAATTTTTTCCGAAAACATTTAATCATAAAGAGTCTTGTATTCTCTCTTTCCAGAAAACTGGAATTATTAATTTGCTTCTGAATTTTCCGGAAAATTACCGTCATGCTCAGCATAGTTTTTTTGTATAAAATTACAGAAAGGCATAATTTCTTTTTTGTATGATCAAGCGATTCTAAGGTAACATCCGAAATCTGCGTACAGGCATTTTGATGCAATGAAAAAAAGAGAAAAGATAAAACATATGTATTTCCTTCGGCCTAGAGAACAGCCTACAAGAAAACGTCAAGGAGAGCGCTACTTAACACAAATCACAACTAACAACACATGTGTCTAGTCAATCTGAATTGAAATTACGCTTTCGAAAAATTGTAGTGCCTTGTAAATAATTCCCAAGACAACATTGGGCTAGGTGGATCAGGTAGATAGTATTGTTCATACAACAGCTATATGTTCGTGTAATGCACTAGGTTGTTGTGTGCTACGCGGCAACTTTTATGTTTTTAATTGAATCATATATCTCCAATAGATTATTGACATCAATGCAAAAGTGCTTAAGTCTATCGCTAATAATGATTACTGCCTTTCACAGTATTTATGATGGTTGTTATCTACACAACCTTCTCATACTAAAAGAATAACGAAGGTATTCCGACCGGTAGGACTTGTAAGTGAATCATAGAATCATGTGGTGAAGATAACCACTACTGAAGTGTGTTAGTAGAATACCACGGCGATCGCAGAAATTATCATCAGCATAAGTTCCGGGAAACGGTTCTTCATAACATCAAGCATCGATAGCCCACTGATTTTCACTTAAGAAATGATCTACCACCTGGAAATGCACTTTTCTCATGAAAAATAGATTAGGTTACACAGCTAATAAAACAAAAATAAGTTCAGTTGGACTTGAACAATTTAAAGCAATCCAACCGTAACTGGTCAAGCATCAGATCTATATATTACGAAATAGAATTGGTGACTAAATTTAAACCATAGTAGAACCAGAACCACTGGGCCCGTTTAAAACTGCATTTCAAAAGAAAAAAACCCCAAAACATTCCGGACGGTAGAAGTCAGGATAATAAAACCATTTGTTGAAATATTAAACAGCAATAGAGTGCATGAAATGGTGACTGCAGAAGCTATTGCTAACATAAACAAGTTTTGGGAAGTACATCTACATGGCAATAACCAAAATATAAGTTAAAAAACTATGCATTCATGCTGTGATCCTATAGAAGAGGAATAAGAGCTAAATTAAAGTAACTAAATTTAATACTAGTAATTTACAAGTAAACACAATGTCTGCTGTAACTGTTATCCGAAGATCGAAATGATGTTAGTTCAGAAGAAAAAGATTATTTTATGGAATATGATTTCGATTTTATTAAATAGTGTTGAAAACAGAATTAACTGTATTCTGTATTAGATATTAGGTTGATACAAAAGTAACTGGATCTCAAAATGCTGAAATTTCTATTGATACAAAAGTAACTGGATCTTAAAATGCTGAAATTTCTACTTGATAGCGGGTATATTCGCAAATAACGCCATATACAGTTTTAATGTTTCTTCCTTGCTTGAAGTTCTTATGCTAATGACTTATTTCTGCTGTTTATTTTATATTAATTTTACACTCTAAAAGTGGTGCTAAAAACAAAGCAAGTTAAAGTTGAATCATAAAGAAGCACAGTAAATCGTAATATCGACAACGTATTTGGCCTAAGAACTACTTATAAACGTACAGTGCAGTGGTGATTCAAGAAGTCCAGCGAAGGAAATGAAGATCTTGGAGATGAAGAGCGTAGTGACCGGTCATCGGAAGTTGACAACAACCAACTGAGAGCAATTATCGAAGTTAATCCTCTAACAACTACACAAGAAGCTGCTGAAAAACTCAATGTCAGCCATCCTACGGTTGGTCGTTCGGCATTTCAAGTGAATTGGGAAGATGAAAAAGGTCGATAAATGAGATGATCTAAAGGACAGATCTACAATCAAAAAAATTATCGTTTTGAAATGGTCTTTTTACTCTACAAAACTAAACAATTTCTCGATCTTTGACTATAGTCGTCAACTGACTAGTAAGGACATATTTGAGTCTAGTCACAAAGGTAATTTTGAGGTACGAAGATACTACTTTTGTATCAACCTAATATATCCCATCCGTTTATTCTTTTATCAAGAAACATTTAAATAACCATAAAAACTGTAACAAAGTGTACCTCCTTCATAGCAAGATTAGGTATAAGTTGATCAGCAGTAAGTGGCGCTCGAGTAACTGGATCAAAATGACCAACTCGTTGCAAATGTTCCTTAATATCTGCACGATCATATGTTATACCGCTCGGAGTTATCACAGGGTCACGTAACATTTCGAAACTGATTTTGCCACACAAATAATCAGGGACCTCTCTTTTTCGCCTTTTTTCATCTACCTGAAAACTAAACTTTTATCTTCCATCAATAACTTCTTTTGGCCAATGCTTACCAAATAACAAAGTACCGAAAGAAAAAAAAAAGTCTCCCCTCTTTATATGAAGATTTTTAAAACAAATCATATATTTACGTGATTTCAAGAAGGAAACCAATAATGTGTCTCAAAGAAATCCATTATAATTGCTGTTTTGAAACAAAACAATTTACAAATCAGATATGGATATAACGATTAAATCAAATTTTAAATTACCTGTGCAAACAAATTGTTCAGTTTATCCTTGGACGATTGCGCCTCCATTTTTAACGCCGTCTCCTCACTCTCCAAATCCAACTCTTCAGTTATAATTTCACTATTTCCGCCAGTTTCTTTTTTTCTTTCAATTTTCGCAATTTTCTTTCAAGGTCGCTATCAATAAGACCATTTAAATAAGCTTGTAATTCAATTTCCTGCTTTATTCTGAAATTCGATACACGTTAATATCGATTACGAACCAGCAAATAAAGTTAAAACAAAAAATCCTGAAATCTAAAAATTCATTCATATGATGATGAACTAGAAAATTCCTACCAAAGATGTGACTTAGTTAAAATATCAACAACGACTCGATCCAACTTGGTATGGGTAGAAGACTAAAGCACAAACCGTTTCTCTTCCTCTCTCCTGAATATTTCTTTCTTCGCAACTCGGATTTGCGCTGTTATTTCGTCACCAAAATTCAGTTTTTGACTACGCGCCAAATCATTTGCACGTGTAAGTACTTTCAAAGCTTCGTCAAAGTGTCCCAATTGTACACATGTTCGGCCAAGGAAAAAATTTGCCTAAAGTACATAAAATCATGAAAACATATTCGCACAGTTTGATAGAGTCTACTGCAAAACGAATAAGAATTTTATGCTACAAGTTTCATTGCATAAATATAACTAGCACACTGCCTTACTAATCATTTGCAGCAGATTCATTCAGCTTTCATGGGTCTTCATTATAGCGGCTTTTGAGTCACGGATCCTGTCATAACTTCGTTGTTGGAATTCAGTGTATTCGGAATTAAGAAGACACTAACCTAGTTATTTAGGAATTTTTTTTATAATGGACATAGTCCTGCTTATGTTTGTAATGTTTTTCCTTTATCTGATTCTTTTATTGAAGAGTGTTTGAATGTTGGTGTACATCGAAAGATGTTGAATAATAATACTCCTTCTTATAGTTATCGTCGTGTAGGTTATGGTTATTATAGAAAGTGTAGATTTAGGTTATAACACTAACCTAACTCAACCAGATAAAAACTCTAACATTGAAGGTCAAGTAGTCATTACTTTGTTAGCCAAAATTTCGAATGAAAAAAGATTACCTTAACATTTTTGCGATCCAAATCTAAAGCTTTCTTGCAATCGTCCTCAGCTTTTTCCCACTGCATCGTTTGCATGTAACATAAAGCTCGATTGGTAAAATAAGTTGGAATCACCGGATTGTTAATTATAGCTCTAAAATTGGCTAATATTTGATCAAATGAGCTAGTAATCAACTGTGATCAAGAGTGCAAGGTATGAACATCGGATGTAGGAGACCTATTCTCTATGTGTAAAATTTTATCAATGATTTTTCTAATTGCTACAAGAAAAGATGCATAAAAATACAATAACGAACAGAGTAAGAATTTCTTAATACAAAGGTGAAAGGAACCAAAGACAGGCTAACGAAATACAGCTATTTTGTTGCGGGATGCAACAAGATTCAAGTATTTTTTTTTTTTGTGAATATTTACCGAAGTAAATAATTGAGTCAATAAGTGCGTGGACGTTTACATAAAATGCCTTGTGTGTGAGAATGCGAACTACAGCAAGGGATTATTGACCCACAACAACGGTCAATAGTGGATCCCATAGATTTAACGTTCAATGTTTATTCTATGCAAAGAGTTAATTCAGACAGTGTCGTATTTTGTCAACGTGTCACCTCTTCAAATATGAATGAATAAAATTCTTAGAAATAGTTAGAATTTAAACAATTCCCATACGAGATTAGTCAATAATTCAAATAAGGAAGTTTATATTTCTGTTTTCTTCCTTTTTCCTTTTCTC